CCCCCCCCCCCCCCCCGAGAGTCTGCCATCGATGCTATTAACATGAATCACTTATATCTAAAGTGGTATCTCTAGAAGGAAGCAAATGATGTAAATGTTCGAGTTTAATGTTAGGACAAAAGAACATCCACGCGACGTTCAAACCGTCTCCAGTCTAACCCTTCATCCTCTATTTAGTCCGTTCTGTAATGGGGCTATAGAATTCGATAGCCTCACTAGTAGGAATAGTTATAACCTCAAATTGAAAAGATAGTACCATTGACTAGTCACGTGCCTAAGAGAACAACACTTCTCCCAAGCGTTCTTTTGCTTCTTCTAGATCCCAATCAACAATAATTCTTTCCTTCGACTCCTCCATCTTCTTCTTCACAAACGGTTCCATAGCGCACCTCTCTTTCTCCCCCAAAAAATGTAGCCTCGTTTTCCACAGCTCATGCTTCGGCACATCTGCCCTTCCCCCAAAAAATCTCTCGTCCAAGTATTTCCAAAATATCGTATCAAACGCCCAGCTCTTTCTCGCAGCATAGCTGAGCCAGAAACGACCTGTTTCCCAACTCTCGCGCATATACGTGGATAAGGGAAACGGCAAGGAATTGGAATTAGAATTTGATTCGACATCTTCCTCGGCCTTCTCCATGGCAGATAACCAAGTCTTGAGACGCATCTGATAGATCTGGCTCCAGTCATCAATACCAGAGCCCCACATCTCGGGTACTTCGAGGAGCAGCCACCAGGGGGGATCGAGCATGAATTGCGAAGGCGCAGCATAGGCGAACTCCCAGTCGATACACGCAACTATATCGTCGGAATCATTTAGCAGCACGTTCCCGCCGCGGAAATCATCACACCAAAGCCGGAATTCGCCTGGGGCAAGGCCTGGGCAAAGAATCTCGGGGTGAGTTTTGGACTGTGCAGACCAATCATCTTCTGCGAACCCAAAAGTCGACAGCAGACCTTTTTTAGCAAGTTGAAGGAGGAGGTGGCGTGCAACGTACTTGTTGCGGCAGTCTTCCGGGGAAGAAACCATATCATTGTGTTGAAAAACCAGCTGGGATATGTGCATCTCAGCAAGTGCAACGTACCATTCGTCGGCAGTATCATACGTCTTGTCTTCGGCGGGGAGAACAGAACGGGGGATATTGGCTAGTTGGATCATGTTGTTCATGTTTTGGGTGATGGGTCGCCCAGCAATAGAGAAGGAGCTGCCGTCCGTATCTTGGGTTTCGACCAGTGAGCCAATGCGGGTGAAAGTGTGCTCTGAGAGCTGCAGAATGCAGCTAGCAACCTTGCTGCAAAGGTCCTCGAGCATACGCTCAGAAACATTTGGGTTTAACACGTAGGTTTCATTAGGATCATTGTTTGGAGCCCTCAGGGCATATGACCATGTCGACCGATTTTCGATATATTGGAGAATGATAAAGGGGCCAACCTCGGAATCCTGGCCATAGTAGAACACTTCTGGGACTAGGATACGAGTGTGTTTACGTATGAATCTTGCCGTTGCACCCTCTCGTAGAGTTTTCTCCTCCGCGAACTTGACAAAGCTGGGGCATGGTATTCGAATCAACACATCAGACGCGACTCCTTCAACACGCAGTCTGTATAGAATATTGTAACCACCGATGATCATAGGTGGTACTAGGGTTGCAGGCTTCTTAAACCTTTGCTCGACAAGTATTCTCGCACGGCGAGGCGCGGCTGGCTGCCGAAGCCAACTTCGAAAGTCTTCCCAAGCTTCGTCATTCTTATCCCATACATAGTTGTCAAAATCTTCTCGAGCATAGTCCATATTAGCTAGGGATTTGTGAATGAATGTTCGATCAAAACAGTGGAACTCGACCGTAGGAAGATCAGACTTATGACGAGCGAATAAGACCAAAGCGGGTTCTGATTCTAGAATCGTGATAGGACTTATGAAAGGAGTCTCCTCCCAGGTCTAAGTGATATAATTGAGATCAGTAAGTACCCTTCGTAAGTGTTGGTGTTAGGTTTTAGAGCAAGAGCTGTTTGGCCAATCCAAGGTTGGAAGATGGGTCTGCGGCTGGGGACAATCACATTTACCACCACATTGCATTTATGGACCACAGTACCAACACGAGTTTTTTCAAATTGCAAAAGCTGAGCGCGCACTTACCTTGGTCAGTTACGAAATACCAAGTATATGTGAAGGCCCTTGCAGACCGGCAGACGGCACTCGCTTATGGTCGTCCAGCTATGCGCCCCGCGGCCCTATGCAAGCTCTAGGGCATTGACTATGGCAATGCTTGCTAGCCGCCTAGTGTTGATGTGGATTATAATTAAGTGGAAGTAGAAGGCCGCAGGGGAAGTGGCAGCGCGCTCGATTGAAAGGAGACAAAGTACGATTGTCCAACCGATTCCTATTTAAAGGCTTCGAGTAGATGACTAAGAAAATATGCGAGGACGCTCCTACCACTATGATTTTCCTACGCTATTATATCGTTCTATGTCGCCTAGCTTGATTTTGTGTCTGCTTTTACCCTACTTTATACTCCGACCTATTAAAGCAGGTGAAATTGGATACGCGCTCACAGAGGAGAAAGTACCTAGGTACCTCCCGTCCGCAGGCAGAAACTAGCGCAGGCGATAAGCGCTCGGTACCACCGCATAATGCTACCTACCTTAGGTACCTAGCTTACGTACAATATACCATCCTATAGGCTATATCATGCCGAGGAGCCTCATGAAGCAAGACAAGGAAGGAGTGCGGAGTGAAACAGCCGCGCCGGGCAAACGCGGGTAAGCTGCCGTAGCCGCGCGCATCAGCTGCATGTACCTCCGTAGTCTCATCGATCGTTGAATGCAAACAGTATCTTGGATGGCCTTTTGCTTGACACGTGTATGTGACTTTCAAGTAGTGACCCAATCACAGAGTCCGCCTGGGAATTAGAATTGCCGGGATCGGGTTTTCAAACCCCCACACTCCAGATTGCAAGAAATACATGAACAATAAGACGAAGAGGAGAGCACAGACCTCGCATACAGAACCACCCATATCCCTACCCCTACTCCCCGTAGACATTGCCAAAGACCTATAATCCATCCCGTCCAAAGAAAATTAGCCAGCAGCCAGCACTTGCTGTTGGAGGTCTACTAAGGCATATATCCCATGATCCCAGAGAGGAGTATAACTTATAAGAGACTGAATCGGGGGAGGGGGTGGCAAGGGGGGCGAGCCTACTAAGGCGGGGATTTTAGGGTTGTTGAGCTGTAAATATCAAGGTAGACGCAAAGGTAAAGATGAAGGGCTGGTAGGCGGTGGTATCCCCAAGTCCAGGTATACAATGACACAACCTAATAACAGTACCCAATAGATCATCTCTACTTTTTCCTTAATCCTATAAACGCCACGCCTCAAAATTCATCACACATCCCCCCTCTCCTTCTCCCTCATCTCTTTAAGCAACTCCCTATCCTCCTCGCTAACCGGCACGCCCTCGATCGCCTTGACCCTCTTGCCCTCCCTATAAATCACCCACCCCGCCGCGCTCGCCACAATACACGCCAAGCTAATCAGCGCACCCACCGCAGCGCCCGGCCGTTCATATCGATTATACCCCCACATAAACCCACACAGCATAATCTGCAAAAACGTATTCCACACAAACGCCCAGATGACAAAATCTAGCATCCAGTATTTACTTGCGCCGGCTCGCTCGCCTGTCAAAGGTGCATCGGGAGAGAGGGAAATGGGAAGCGCGAGTGCGGCTTCGTTGATTCCCAACGGCAAGGGGGAAAAAGCAGAGGTTTGGTCGAATTGCACATCAACGTCCTCACTGCCCACCAAGCGAAACCACCCGCGATGAATGCCCGCCAGCCTCCTCAGCGCCCGCTCATCTTTCCCCCATCTCCACTGCAGCAGATAATACCAGTCGCGGAAGCGCCAGGGAATTAGACCGAGCCCCGTGACGCAGAACAGCGCGTTGAGGATCTGCGCCGTGATCTCGAGCCAGATCTTGGCGCCGGAGTTGAGGGCACTGTAGGATGGGTGCGCCATGGCGGGCGTGGCGTGGATGAGGATTAGGAAGAGCATGCCGCCCCACGCTACGATGTTGAGGGCGTAGACCGTGAGCAGGAAGCCAAAAGGCGTGATGATGAACTTGGCGAATCCGCGTAGGGCGATGGTGGTAGCTTGTTTCTTGCTGTGTTTGGGTGGGAATTGGTAGCCGTTGGCATAAGGGACTGCTGGGTCATGCGGCGCGATAAACTCCATTTCTTCGGCCACGGGAGTTGGGACGTTATCGACCGGCGTTGTTTTTTCTTCTGTGATGGGTTCCTTTTTGGTCTCGGGGATTGGTGTGGCAATGGACATTGTGCGAGTACGGTAGCGTTGGATTACTTCTGCGTCTGAATCTCGGTGCGCTTGGCTGTTTCGACGCTGCCCAGGGCCGGACCATCCTCCTTCTGAGTTGAAGTTCCCTTTTTGGATGTCGTTCAGGGTGGGGATGTTGGAGCCTACCGAGCCGAATGCGTGGAATATGCCCACGGGGGGTCGGGATTTGGCAAATGATTGTTGAGCATCGCGCAATATTTTGCTGGCTTTTGAGGGCTCCGTGGGTGATCCGTTTGTATTCGAAGGGGATATTGGGGTCCCAAGTTCTCCTGCATCGCCCGGCGCACTTGTGCCCGGTGATACAGGATCTGCCATAATGCAAAGCGTAGAATGAGCAAAACAATGAAAGCAACGATGAATATCAAGCAATTGTTCGATCGAACAACCTTGTTAAATGAAGAGGGGACGTTAGAATAGGTGGGAATTGGCCGACACTTATTCCAGGGTCTGAACGAGAATACGCCACAAAGTCTGAATATGGTAGTATCCAAATTATACAAGGCTTAGAGGGATCAAGCTGCTGCCCTACCTACAGCCCCGGTCCGTATGATTGGCGGGCCCTTGACATATTCAAGCTTTGTCGCTTTGTCTTGCTGCACGTCGCTTACTACTGACCACAAAGTGTCGTGGTACATGCAAGCCACACCCAAACCCCGAAACTTAAATCTCACCTATATCTCCCGGCGATAAAGTAAGTAAGCCTAACGTGGCGTCGAATCTACGCCGCAAATCCGATTCTTCTGTAGGCCGTGCGATTTTTGTCAAGATGAGGCTATTCTGCTGCATGGTAATCCCATGTAATCCGGTTAATTTGGATATAATGTCGGTGCATCTCTCGGGATGTACTTTGTAGCACCGATGACAATCAAGGGCAGTCTTCAATTGTACCGATTCCTTTAAGACCTTTGAAACAACCATGACACCCAGTCGTCCTTCGACCGAATACAGTCCCAGATTGTAACTAGAAATACTTGGGGGAACATGTGTCCAGAAGGCTTCTACGTGTAACGGAACGAGTTGCAATTGGGACTTTCAATTGAGATGGACATGCCGGAGACGCAATGATGGTTTGGTGTAGGGTGGTTGCGGTTGCGGTTGTATAAGGCGTAGTGCCATTCGTTTGGATAAAGAACTCTTTTTCGTCTTCAAATGAGTATGCCACTACCATGGAGGATATACCACTTGAAACGCCAAGGAGAGCGCAAATATGCCGTTTGAAAGGTCTAGGGTGGTCCAGTGATGATGCAGGGAGACGAGAGCATAGTCTCAAGATTTCCTTGGTGCAAGCACAATTGGCGGACTGGTGACAAAAGAATACCGCAAAACCCAGAGCACAGAAATTATTTTGCTGACTTTAGAAAAGAACCTCCCCATCCCATCCGAGCGCAGGGGCGATATGGGTCTGAAATCCTCCAAATTGGAGGAGCAAAGGCGTTGCTTGCGTGAATTCGGGTATCCCTTTGATATGCACCTCTTGTATCGGATTGCGGAGGTAGGTGTATCCATTCGAAGGTAGTAGTAGCAAGCGCACAGCTCCAAGAAAGCCTTATGCTGCAATGATGACTGCTTTGATGCCCAATTAAACTATTTCCCTCTCCCGTGAAGCGTGTATAGACATCATACATGCATGCGACTGTGCCCCGAGTATGTAGTCGATGTAGAGCTGCTGGGGCACCGTACTCATAGGTAGGGCTTTGTCTCCGGAGGATGTGGGTGAGAACCGAGAAGCTCCTTCGGTGTTCGGGGTCATGTTGTAGAAACATGTAGCCATTCAGACAAGTTCCATCTCCCCTTTCTCAACCGCCTCCTTCACATCGGCCCATCTCGCCACCACAACCTCCCCCCTCGCGACTTCCACTTCTCCATCTCCATCCCTCCCTCGCCCCCTTACAACCACGCCCTCCCCACCAATTTCCCTAGACCCCAAGCTCCTCACAAAAACACCCCCCTCCTCATCAGGTCCACCAATCATAGATATACCCCCCGCCGTATCATTCAAGTTCTGCAACTGCGGCGGAAAGCTGCCCAGGAAACTACCCAAATAGTGCCCGTGCAGCAGCTGCTGATGTCTCGTCGCATACGCAACCTCCGTCTCGCTCAAACGCGTCTGCAACTCGGGAGTAGACAGGTAGTATAGGGTGTGTTTGTCGATCTTGGCAATGCGGGCGCGCAGAATGGAACGGATGATGAATTTCCAGCGCTCGACTTCGGTTTGGATTATGATGAGGCTGAAGTTCGTTTTCGGGTCCATGTCCCCGGTCATCTCTTCGACTTTTTCGATCTGCGCTTTTATGCGGTTGGTGGCGCGTTCGATTAGGTTGTCTTTGGGGTAGCTGGAGGGGTTAGTTGGGTGTTTTGAGGGGGATGAGGGGAGGTGAGGGGCATACGGCAGGAGTTCTGCGGCGCCGCGTTCGTTGACCCAGGCCCGAGTTAGATCCTGGAGATCAGTTTGTCCTGAAGGGCGTCCGTCATTATAGTCGTCGTCGTCGAAAGGATCACGATCGCGGTTAAGATCTTGGAGGATGTCGGAGATGTCCATGTTTGCAGAGAGTGGGGTGCAAAGGAGTTCCTGGGGCAGGAATGATTACAAGAACAAGTGTTATCCAAGGATCATAGGATCATAGGATCTTCAATTTGTGGCAGAGGAGAGGTTACGAGGCCCTGAATTCTTGGTGTTTGTTGACTTTGCTTCGCCCAAGACGCGATCTCAAAACGTCCCCGCGTAGCTTCCCTTCCCCGCCCCGCCTCGCCCGCCTGAGGTAAAAAAAACTCGCTTAGGTAGCCTAGCGAGCGGTTGAGACGAGACGAAAAATGGCAAAAGAAAGAGGCAAAAAAAGAGTTAAAAAAGGATTAAAAAGGACAAAATAACAGCGAGCAGGGAAATCGAAAAACAATAAAAGAAAATGCAAAAAATTGGTAGCTTCTCTTTGATTGAGCGTGTCATCCTTAGTGCAGGGGCCATGCTAATCTTCTCTGTATCGTTTCAAATTGACCAAATGCCCGAAGGCGAAGTGTTTTGGTTTATTTCACATTATATAGCCTCTCTACAAAGCCAAAACGGAGAGTAAGGTTACAATCCAAGCCAAGGCCACCATGTTTCACAACAATGTAATCTTACCCTCTTTACATCAGACACCGCGGACATAACTCGTGTACTGAATTAAGGCGTTTCTTATTATTAGAGTATTATCTTCCATATGCCTCTTTTCGCATATCTTCTTCCTTCTCTTACACCTTTCCTACCCCTCCATTCCCTCGGCATTTTCGTTCGCTATGCTAACTTCACAGCGGGCGAAAGAGCCATCGTCCTTCCTCTTCCGCGTCCACTTCCACTGCACTGGTAACATACTGCGATATTACTGCTGCTCAGCTATCATGTAACGTGATAGAACATGATATCCTGCCAGTCAAGTGCATTCATCAACGCGCTCGCATCCGGGGTATATCCAGATCTGCCATAATTGTCTGGCTCCTGTCTACCGTCTTCGCCTTGACATTCCTCTACTCCCGGCTCTGTTCTGCTCTCCTGCGATATCTCTTCCGCGGGTATTCCAGGTGCAGCGTTGCTACGCAGAATACTCATTATCTTATTTCTAAATCTCTCATGTAGAGTTTGAAACAATTCCAGTACCGCCTCCGCGTTTGGCCAGTGCAGACTCAACTCCTTGGATGGCGCAAACAACCTTTCGAGGTAGTTCTGTGTGTTCAGGGCTAGTAGTGTTGCACCAGTCTCGATGGCGAGTCTGATTTCTCGTGAGGTATGAATGGCGGCCGCAGTCAGGGCGATGATGGCCGTAAATGGGCATTGATCGAGACAGCCCATGGACAGCATTGTCTCAAAAATCGAGATGATCGCTCCGGAAGCGCGGTTGCAGATCTCCGTAGATTCAGACTGCTGCTGGGGTGGCTGCAGCGATACTGATCCGGTCCAGGCCGAATCCATTGGTATGAATTTGCGGTGGAGGTGGATGATAACGGTCTGGTAGTGCATCTGAAGCTGGAGGGACCAGAAATCATTGCTTGCGGGGTTTGTTAATATCCAGTCCACGAGACGCGAATCGAGGGATGCCAATATCGTACCAGTGTCGGCTTGCAGGCCCGATGCGCGGGGTTTGTTCAACCGCAGGATTTCAAGAATCATATAGCATAACTCTATATTGCCCTTGCAATAATCGAAGTTCAGCTTTTGATTCAGGACTCCGTTTTCTTCTTTGAAATCATCAAGTTCTAGTGGAGGCTGGTCTAAGTCCTCGAGGAGGATCATGGACGGCCTACCATGTTCCAGCGCTGTGAAGATCTCTGTCTGGAATAACGTCCACCAAACGCGACGGTATGCCCGTCGCTCACCCAAAGGCATCATGCATGGTCGTAAATGCGAAGAGAGGTCGCGATGCATGCCAATGCCGAACGCAATTCGGCAAGCTACGCCGGCCCAGTAGTAACTATTCGCTCCAGCACTGTCGGCATTTTCAAGATACCATGTGAAAAGTAAGGCGCACTGGATGAGATGCAGGCGGTTGTTCTCATGTCGCATGTCGAATAAGGCTTTGGCACGGAAGAATAACATCGCCGTTACTACTGCACGAGATTCGGCGATTTTTGGATGGCTGCATACATGGGCACCGACGAGAATAACCGACTGCAGGACAATCAGTGGTGGAGGGTTGGATGGATCCTCATAGCGCCGGCGGAAGTCGAATTCGTCAATGACGGGGAAATAGGGGTTGATTTTGTCAAAGTACGCGTCCACGAGCGAGTCCCGAATGTCTTTGGCAGGGAAGAAACTCAGATCCCGAAAAGGATCAAGATTTGTGCCCTGAAATTGAAGACTAAAGAGAGTTTGCTCGAGCCCAGGCTTCCATGGTGTAAGCGGATGCGTACGTGGATGGGGAAGATGGAGTGGCCTGGCAGACTGTTGGCCTGACTGCTTCTGTGGTTCGAGATTGATGAGATGCGAGAGGTTCGATACATTGGTGCCAACGTATGCCAGCCGCATGGTATCGCTATGTTCGAAAACTTCCCAGTTCTCTGCCCCAACGCCATGTAAGAAGAACTGATTGAGGCTATTCCGAGCCATGCCCTGGGAGATGACTGCACTATCGGTAATACTTCCAATATCCCATGGTGCGCTCGATGGACTATGAGACTTGTGAGTCTCATCCGGTACAATGGAAGATGATGTTTCTGGTGGTGCTTGAGATGCTGCCACGATACCAGGGTATCTCCGCCCAGGGCGCTTCCATTGGCTAGTAAAGCTATATGTGTGTTAGCAGTTGTGATGATATGAAAAGTGGTCAATCTTTTCTTGCGTACCTGCATTCTCTGTCTACTTTAAGACAATAGCTACATGGGCTTTTGTCAACAGAATCACAGCGTACCTTCCTCCGACGGCAATTATCGCAGGATTTCATCTGCTGCCGCCTATGAGGCGAATCACCCAATTGTGGAGATATACCTGCTTGATTGAGCCGTGAATCCATTCAGTCGGCATGATCCGACATGAGAAAGGAACGCCCGACAGCTTTTAATAGTAAGGATCAATATCCAAGACTTGCGTTCTTACAGCTTGCCAATGCAGCATTATTGTACTCTAACCCCACTTTTAGACTGCAAAGGGCGATAAGAAATTGCGGAGTATTCCCCTTCCCCCACCAACTAAAACCATCTCACGGGCATACCGGGTATACGGCTGGGGAGGGAAGCCTTAGCCAATAGGTTGCTTTAAACACCACTTACACAGTTTAAGCTTTATCAATGAAGCAAGATCTTGGCTTTCGGCAGACTTGTTTACTTTGTACTGAAAAGTTTCATTCTGTAACTTGCAGACCATACCTCACACCTGGTGCACCTTTTCATAGGCCTTCCCCCCAGCCATTCTATCAATTTCTACGCAATCGTCCAAACCACATGTCTTGAACAATTTCTGCACACCCCCACCATTATATGCTTCTTCTTTGCCGCTCGACTTCAGTAAGGCCAAGCTTTGATTAACACCATCCAACACCTTTGAGGAGCAGACGCCGGGGAAAATAATCAGCCGGAAACCTAAAGCTTTCGCCTCTTCGACTGTCAGATCAAATGGTCCGGCTCCAGGCACCATGTTGAAAAGAACTGGCATGTCTCCCATAATCTCACAGACTTTCTTGCATTCCTCTTTTGATTGAATGGCTTCCAGAATAACCACGTCGACGCCAATCTCCTTGGCCTCTTTCAACCGCTCAATAGCTTCGTCGAACCCAAGGTTCTGCCTCGAATCTGTCCGTCCGATGATAACGATATCAGACTGCATCTTCTCTCTCGCATTGATGGCGGCACGGAGGCGACTATACCATACTTCCCGTTCGACGACTGCTTTACCCTTCAAGAACCCACACCTCTTCTCATGGATCTAACCTTTTCATCAGCTACCGTACCGACGCAGTACATCATTCCACTTACCTGATCTTCTATATGAAGAGCTGCCACCCCAGCACGGGCATAATTTGCAACGGTTCGAGACACCATAATGGGCCCACCATAACCAGTATCCGCGTCGGCGATGAGAGGAACGGAAGTGTCCAAATTCGCAATCATCTCAGCATTAGCCGTCATATCAGTAAGCGTTGCCATTCCCAAGTCCGCCCAACCAAGCCGAGACATGGAGGTACCGGAGCCTGTCTACAAATCCCATTATCAGTTTGCATTGTACTTCTTGCAGCTTGTGCATGCGTGTTACAGTCTTCGGATCTTACCATATAGAGAGCATCGAAACCTTGCGAGATAGCAATGCGGGAAGTAAGTCCATCGTATACACCCGGACACACTACGATCTTGTTTGGGTCTTTAAGCATTTCCCTGAGGCGCTTTGCGCCGGTGTGCGGGCCTGTCGACATGTCTGGAAATCAGTGGTTTGCGTGCTAAGTGAGTAAAAAAGTGCAGACAACCGGAGCGATTCAGAAGTGTTTGTAAAATTGCTTCAAAAAAACAGAATAGAAGATACTTTAATTTGAATGATATTAGGGAACAATTATCTATGAAGCGTTACGATAGCTGTCTCCAGTAGTGGGTAGGCCTAGTAGCGGGTTTGTTCAAATCGGGCCCGCCCCACAGCGGCTCCGAGGTATCTTTGTTATCTCAATCCCACTTTACCATACCGGAAACAACCAAGCTGTAGGGAACTAAGTAGCTACTTGATTAGAATTGGAGGCATGGGATTGGCTTCCAATGCGATTTTGACCTTCAAGTCACAAGAACAGGGAACAAATTCATACTATATTTCAAACTCAAACTTGAGGTGCAAATGGTCTATGGAGCGAAAATGACAAAAATGACAAGTGATTCACTTTTCCAAATTGCCGTCACGGATAATGACGAAGGCCATGTTCTGGGAAATACGTTTCTTACTCAAGTTTCGGGGCTCTTGAAACAGATACGCGGGGTTAACATTGCGGTCGTCAACTCCAATACGCCTAGTCAGTTTTCTATACCTGCCTCCGGTTCCATATTCCAAGTGCTTTCGACGCTTTGCACCGCATTATCAACGACATCAAGACACCGTGAAGCCGAAACATTCAAGTACGTGCTAGCAAAATGCATGGATTCGAAAGCGTTTGGTGGGCTTGGGTTCAGCAAGCAGTCAATCGTGGAGGAAGAAGATCGCAGCAACGCCTTGTTTCTTGTCGAGGTGTGGCTTGAGGCCTTGAACTCGCAAGACCGGGTCAATGATAGTCCCTCGACCATAGCAACGAAATCCCATAGAACGAAGCCGATGACTCTATCTGAGAAGATATTTGCACATCACACTATTGGGGGTTGCCCAGTAGAGGGCTTGAAAGCAGGAGATGTGGTTCGTGTTTCTATCGACTGGGTCATTGCATCAGAACTTACATGGACGGTAAAGCCTAAAACTTCCCACTTTCGATAAGAAAGCAGAGGACTGATAACTATATAGTATATGTACAGAACCATGGAAGAGATCGGAGCTGAGAAGATTTGGCGTAATGACAGGTTCTGGCTTGCAGGCGATCACGTTGTGGACCCACGAGTCTACAAACAACCCAAAGTCAAAGCCTTGATCCAGGCAGTTGAAAAGGCCAACAAGGATTACAAAATGACTGATTACCAAGGTCTGAATTATACAATCATGCACACCGAGTTCGTGCGTGAGCGTGTTGAGCCCGGTATGTTGATTCTCGGGGCTGACTCGCATACGTGTTCGTCTGGTGCAGTTGGATGTCTGGCTATTGGTTTAGGAGCCGGAGATGTAGGTATGGGACTTGTGACGGGCGAGACGTGGATGAAAATCCCCGAGTGTATCTTGATTACGTTTACTGGAAAACCGGCATTCGGCATGGGTGGGAAAGATGTCATTCTATATATCCTGAAGGAGCTGAAGAGAAACACTGTCGCTGCTGATCGAATCGTTGAGTTTTCCGGGGATGGATTGAAATATCTTTCCTGTGATGCCAGGTTCGCTATCGCGAATATGTGTGCTGAGCTCGGGGCCGTGTCTGGTATCTTCGCAGCGGATGAGATAACTTACGACTATGTCTCTCGACGTCGCCAGAAGACACATCGCTCACACTCTCTTTACTTTCAAGCTGATGCCGAGGCCGTATACGCTGGTAAATACACTATCGATCTGTCCAAGATTGAGTCATTCATTGCTCTCTATCCAGCTCCCGACAACGTTGTACCAGTATCTGAGAAAAAGGATATGCACCTGGATGGGGTGTTCATTGGAGCTTGTACGACAACAGAGGAAGACCTAGTGCTCGCAGCGCTAGTACTACAAGTTGGGTTAAAGAAAGGCCTTCCACAAGCTAAAGGCCGCAAGCACGTCGCGCCAGGATCCCTACCCATTGTAGAGAAACTGCGATCCCTCGGCCTTCTCGAAGTCTATGAAGCAGCCGGGTTCACAAGAAGCCCGCCAGGCTGCAGTTTCTGCGTTGGGATGGGTTCTGATAAAGCAGGAGAGGGCGAGACATGGCTCAGTTCGCAAAATCGAAACTTCAAGCATCGTATGGGGAAAAACGCACTCGGCAGTATCACTTCTGCCATTGTCGTAGCGGCATCCAGTTTCAGTATGACTGTTACAGATCCTGCTTCATTCCTTGCCGATATGGACGTCGACTTCTTCCGGAGCTATAGAAGTCTCTCAGAGTCGATATTGAAGCCTGTGCTATATGTAGAACCACATACTGGGCCTCTAGAGCTACCATCAGCCAATCCAGTCCAAGCAATCCCTAAACGTACAGAGGAATTCCGGCCACTTGAAAAGATTAGTAGTAAAATCGTCGTCTTGGGGGATTTTATTGATACCGATGCTGTAAGTCCTCTGACCGGCTTGACGTTCGGTAAATGCAACTAACTGAAATCACAAACCTAGATCGCACCCTCCGAGTTCCTCGTCGGACCAGTCCCAGATGAAGAACTGGGATTACACTGTCTCCAGTACACGCACCCAGATTTCCGTGAAAAGGTCAAGAACGGCCAACGCATCGTCGTGGCGGGAAAGGCATTTGGCTGCGGTTCTTCACGCCAACATGCTGTCGGCTGTCTCAGTGGTGTGTACCCTAAAATAACTCCATTTAACGTGATATTATACCAGACAGAGCCTAAACTTATCATCTCGTTCTCGATATATAGGAGCTGGTGTACAAGCCGTAATCGCCCGTTCCTTCTCCTTCATCTACGGCCGCAACCAGCCCACGCTCGGCCTCTTAGGAATCACCATTTCCGACGAAGCCTTTTTCACCGCCGCTACGGAGAACGCTGACATTGAGATTGATGTGCCCAAGAGAAAGATCTTCGTCTCTGGTCAGGAGTTCGGTTTCGTTCTGGCGGATATGGAGTATCGGTTGACGATGAATAAGGGTATGAATGAGGCGTATAAGAAGTTCGGGACTGCGATTTGGGAGAAATTGACGGAGAAGAGTATAGAGTCGAATATTGATTTGGGAGGCGTGGAACAGGAGATGCAACCTCTTGATAATCGGTTGAAGTGGTAGATTGATAGCAGATGGGAATCAATACGTGGTTATTACTCCTAGAACCCTGTCCTGTGTGGATGAAAGTGCGGAAAGTTCTACTTATATCTTTGATTTTCCTGCTACCTTATGTGTATAAGTGATAAATATATGATAGATCACACATTTTGCTGTTGTACTACGCGTTTCGCCTCAAGGGTGAAAGTGGTTGTGAACCCCTACATTACCCCATTTTACCAAGGGAATCTCATCAGAGCTACTGCATATATAGTCAATCTATAGAACCAGCTTTAGAAGTCAAGTTCTGTTATGTTTGCTTATTGATAGAGTGAACCTTATTGGTAATTCTAGGAACCTGCGTTTCATATATTTTTCTTTCTTTTTGGAATAGATTAAGGGTGTTTGTATAAATACATATTGCATATACCAAAAAGTTCTATGTAATAAAGAATGATATACCGCTATCTACTATTAGAACTATAAATTCAATTCCTTACATAAAACCGAATTCCCTAGCGAACCACTCCCCGCAACATCATTCAAACCGCAGTAATCTCAGGGATATTTCCACCAGCCCCAGCCGCCAGTTCTTCCGCTCTCCGTTCCTTCTCAAACTCATGGTTGATCTGCTCTTCAGTAGCTAGTCCCTCGAGTTTCGCCTGTTGCTCAATAATGTGTGGCACGATGACTGTTTCCTCGATGAAGTAGTTTGTGTCTGTGACATAGAACAGCACCACGATTAACATTCCTGTGAGGCCGATTGCGTAAAGGCTATGCAATGGACGATGGTCAGTTATAACATTCTTCTTTATTAATAGGAGGAAAAGGGCAAGGAATGCAACTTACATGAACTGGACAGTCAGTTGCCAAATATATGGCACTTTCCTCGAATCCAGAAGAAACGAAACGCAGATCCCCAAACTCCCAGTCCCCTTGAACAGACCTGCATACCGTGCCAGAACCGCGGGATCATTAGTGAGCGCTGCAAGAATCCATTCGATGACGATTTGAAGGCCGCTATAGAGCATCCCGAAGAACAGATAGATGACGAAGCATTTCGCAAATGCCGAATCCGTCCAATCATGTCCTCGCGCTTTATAGAGTCGCTGGTTGATATTGTTCTCCTTGATGAAAGCTGCGAGTCCGGCGCATGAACATAGGGTTATAGTTCCTATGAACGCAACTCCTATGATACCACGTGTCCGTCGGCGCTGCACGTACTTGCTGTCGAGGATGAAGGAGAGGATGAGCGGGATTAGGATCTGGATGATTTGAAATATGACGTTGTTGAGACAGCGGGTCCGGAGATTGAAATAGTAGCCTAGGAACCATAAGCTTAGCGGACAAGTAGATAGGGATGCAAGAGGAGAGACGTACTGTTGATACTGCTAATCATCGCAGTAGCCATCTCACCTACAAAGATGGCAGGAGTGAGAAGTAATATCCGGGGGTCAATAAAGACTGTTAGCATAGCTTTGAGTTCGGGTAAAATGGCTGCTTGTTGGAATATAGCAATGTGCGTCCCATCATTACGAACGACTTTCCGGGGGTCGACAACGAATAACCCGCCAATGATGATGGAAGAACACATGATGACGATAAAGGTGATGTAGATGCCATCGGAGACGCCTTGCGCTTTGATCTCATTCTTATTTACCCCGAAAGCAATGAAAGCTGCTACCGTAGAGCCTAAAGAATGAAGCATGTATTGCACCACAATAAACTGTCTATGTCAGATTGGCCTTGATCGTAGTGAAGAGGTGACTTACGGTACCCTTTTCCTTCTCCTCTGGATAGACATATGACACCCATCCTGTCGCAGTCCACAGGCAGCCAGCTGTCATACCCAGCATGGCACCTGCAAATAAAACAAACCAGGAATTTCCAGTTCGGTCAAAATACCAGAGACCACCAACGTAGAGTGGGTATCCGATAGCTCCAAACATAACTGTAAGTCTTGGCTTGAGGATATTCAAGATCGAACCACCCAGCCATCCGAACAGCGTGAAAGCGCCGTAGAGAATAGAATTCGCATCCGAAGACGTGCTTTGGGAACTGGGTTTCCCGCCTCCAGCTCCGAGACCTGTGATAGCTCCATAGATTCCAGGGAGACAGAATAGGAGACTAATAGAAATTGATATTATTTCTCGGACGGAGACTATGATTGACTTACCATCCCATTATGAAGTTTTGAAAATGAGGCGAGTTGATGCGAAGCGATTGCTTTATTTTAGCAGTAATTGTCGCCATGATCTTGGTACTTGTGCTTGATGAAGCGGAGATTGGCAAGTATGAATACAAGTCATATATAACAATCCTACTGACAGATTACATCAAATGTGATAAGAGACCAGAAGTTTTCTCATATTCAAATACATGGACCTTGACCCAATCTACTGATAAAGTAAATCACCCTCACTCACTGGGATGGGATGAGATGGGAGGGCATGGGATACGGGGTAGAGATTGCAAGCGAGTTAATCCCGGTATTCGCGGCAGCCCAGCTTCTGATTACAGGTTACAGCGTATATACCGTAAGATATCTGGAACAGGACAAACCGAAGCTAAATATCCTCAACGCTAAGACGCCAAATTAAGATAACAAGGGGCGGGAGCGTAAATCTCGGAACCGAAGTGATTGTGATGGTCCATACAAACGGGGAATTCAATGCGCGGCTCCGAATGCTGCAAGGTACCAAGGATATCTAATCTTCTACTCCGCACTGGACTGGAACCCCTCCCCCACTTATACACAACACAGTATGTACGAATAGTTGGAACGGAATGGAGATGGGAAGCGGAAGGTCATCCCGATAAGGATTCCAAAACCGGACCTTGGGGATTTTGGTTTGGTATCGCGCAATGTAGCTTGATAGTATATACAAGCCTTCACTCTCAAATTCTAAACTGTCGGTTTTGCATGACAATCACGTTGCAGTCCAGGTAATATCACTTAACTTGCGCCAGGCTCTATATTTCTAGTCATGTTGCTCAAAAAGACAACCGAGGAAGCTCATCCGCTTGATCCTCTATCCCCCTCTGAAATATCATCTGTCCGTATCCCCATCCACATTCCCTCCACGCTCTAACAAAAGCCCCTTCACAGGTAGCAAAAGTCCTCCGCGCAACATTCCCCAGCAACAAAGTCATCTTCCGGGTCATAACACTAGCCGAGCCCCCCAAAGCGCTCTTGGTCCCCTACCTCTCTGCAGAGCGCGCCAACCTCCCCCGGCCAGTCGTCCCGCGAAAGGCGTTCTGCCAATACTACCTCGACGACCGCCAGCAGTTCCACCAGCTCGAGATCGATATCGCTACCAAGGAGCTTTCGGCCCGGGAAGCACTGCCGGGGAAACACTCGTACACAGATGCGGAAGAGGGCGTTAGAGCCGAAGCGGCGTGTCTTGCGGATTTGAAGGTGCAGGATGCGATCAAACAGCTCGATCTGCCTGAAAATGCCGTTATTGTGGTGGAGCCGTGGACGTATGCACCGGATGGGCTGGAGGACATGTCGCAGCGCATCATCATGGTAAGATTCTGCTTCCGCGGTCGTGGAGTAGAGGTGTTCGGGATGTAATGCATGAACGTATGCGGACTAAATCGTGGACAGTGCTACATCCATATGCGCTTGTCCAGTCATAAGGATGCAAACCATTTCGCGTATCCTCTGGACATATGCGCGCAGATGAATAGCGACTACAAGGTTACCAAGGTATTCGCTCTCCCCGGGGCAGAGAGCGGCCGGATGGTGGAATGGGATGGCACGGGGAAGAAGTTTGACCGCAGGAAAATCCACGCTGGGAGCGAATATCATCCGGACTTGCAGACGGAGCGACGAGAAACAACGACGCCGTATCAGGTGGTACAGCCAGACGGACCTTCCTTTGATATTGAAGGAAATCTGATACGTTGGGAGAAATGGAGATTGAGAGTCGGATTCAACTATGTTTGTAGTCCCTACTGTTTATGAAGTGTGTGGTTAGGCACTGATGGTTCATGAAAATAGCGCGAGGGTCTTACTATCCACGATGTTTCGTATGATGGGAGGGAGGTATTTTACAGGCTCTCTCTCTCCGAGATGTTTGTCCCCTATGGTGATAGTAGAAGTCCATATCCCCGCAAAGCTGCCTTCGACCTAGGTAACAACGGAGCGGGAGTCAACGCCAACAACTTGCAGCTAGGTAAGGCCAAAGTCCTGATAAACATAGCTTCGTCTCGCTGACCCTCAGACAGGATGTGATTGTCTTGGAAGCATCAAGTATTTCGACGCCTACCACAATACGCTGTCGGGCGAACCGTTAAAACTGTCAAACGTAGTCTGCTGCCACGAGCAAGACGACGGTATCCTATGGAAACATACCAATTTCCGAACCAACAACGCGGTTGTAACTCGATCTCGAATCCTCGTCCTCCAAACCGTCATAACGGTCAACAACTACGAGTACATATTCGCCTTCCACTTCAACCAAGCCGCCGAGATCAGCTACGAAGTCCGCGCCACTGGAATCATGAGCACAAACCCCATACCCATCTACGCCCACGTGCAATCCGGCACAGTCGTTGCCCCTGGCGTCCTCGCACCATTCCACCAGCATCTCTTCAGCCTCCGCATCGACCCGTCCATCGACGGCCACAAAAATTCCCTACTAGTCGAAGAATCCCACGCGCTGCCCTTCCGCGACCCCACCGTCCACAACCCCGCGGGCATCGGCTACACAACGACGAAACGCATCATCGAGCACGAGACGGCGCTCGACACGGACGTCTCCACGGCGCGCACCTTCAAGCTCATCAACGAGAATATCCTCAACGCCATGAGCGGCACGCCCATCGGCTACAAGCTCGTGCCGCACTACTCGCAGATGCTGCTCGCGCACGCGGACTCGCTG